TATATATATATATATAAGGGCCATATATGCCAGCGTACTATGCGAATTAGGACAGATATGCCTGCCGTTAAAAGTTTGGCACAGATATACCCAAACCGTCCAATACTTGCTCATTCATGCCCTTAGTTTAATGGAATCACTATTTTATCTTTCTTAAATAATTAATAATCGGACCCAATCAAAATTTGTTGACTCGACCCGTTAGGACCCGACCTACCCTTAGTTCAAAGATATATTTTGATATATTATTTTTGTCTGATTGAGAAATTGCGTGATAATCATATTTATTTATTTGAATAATTTGATAATCGATTTTTTTTTTTGTTATACATCATTTCGGGAAGTAATCCTACTAAAAGTAGTAATTGACATTTATTGGTGGTTTTAATAATATAATATTCGAATTATTTTGTGCTTTCTTCAATCATTTTACCATCAATTTTTATTTTTCTCACAATATATTTGTATTTTTCACCAATACAAATACAAATAACTCCATGCTCACTATAACTTAACCTGATGGATCCGTTTTTTTTGTTTAGATAAGCGATCATTATATGATTGATTATTAGTATTGGATTATTTTCTGCATTACGAATTTCTTATGAAATAATTAATAAATTGTTAAGACAGTGGCGCTTCTTTTCCATTTTTATATTTATTTTTTCTGCTCCATCATCTTTGATATTAGATCCAACAGGCGCCATAAGTGTCATTGTTGTCTCGGTCATCAATCATTAACTAAAATGTTTTTGTTGTCGTGAATTGTCATCTCTTGGTATCCCGACGATCTCTTGGTATCCTCATTATATTCTAGGGATCTCTTAGTATCCCGAGGATCTCTTGGTATCCTCATTATATACTAGGGATCTCTTGGTATCCCGAGGATCTCTTGGTATCCTCATTATATACTATACAGTCCAAATCCATATATGTGCAGGAGGATTTCCCGGAATGTAATTCCGTAGTCCCAAAGTAAACATACAGGGGAGCTCCCGGGATACCGTCCCGTAGTCCCAAAGTAAAAGTGCAGGGGATCTCACGGAATACCGTTCCGTAGACCAAAGTAAACATGCAGCAACAACAAGAATTCAATCCAATCAATTTCATATCAAAGTGAAGCAGGTAATCCTAGCCTAGCATGGTGCACGTAATACAATTAAGGTAGTTAAGGCAAATAGAGCAATTTAGACAAGTAGACATGCTTCTCTAGGCTACAGCAGGTTAAATTTCCAAACAGTGTAAGTAAGAAAAAGGAATAACACAATATAAGGCTATTTTTAATGAAAAACCGGATTTCCAACAATTAGCACAAGTACGCACTCGTCACCTCACGTACGTGTGACGACCCAAAAGGGGCATCACCTGTATTCCTACTCCCTCTGCATTTCGGAGACCGTGAAAACCTCACTTGGGGGTTGCCTCGACTTGTGTGCGCAGTCCGGGCGCGTAACCGGAAAGTTTAAATGTGAATTTGGGAGAAAAATAATAAATTTGATGTTTTAAATTGATTGAGTTTGACTTTGGTCAACGTTTTGGGCAAACGGACCCGGACTCGTGATTCGACAGTCCCGGAGGGTCCGTAGGAAATTTTTGGGACTTGGGTGTGTGCCCGGAATCAAATTCCGAGGTCCCAAGTCCGAGAAATGAATTTTTGGGTGAAACTGTTTTCTGAAAATAATTAAAGAATTTGAAAGTGTTATTTGTTTTGAAGACTGTGCTGTTGGGCTCGTATTTTGGTTCCGACGCCCGGCACAAGTCTTAAATATGATTTAAGCAATTGCTGTAAAGTTTGGTTAGATTTGGACGTCGTTTGACGTGTTTTGGACTAAAAACTCTAAACTTGATGTTTTATGAAAATTGGAAGGAAATCCTGGGTCTTGAGGCCTAATTTGATGATTTTGATGTTGTTTGAGCGATTTGATCGCACGGATGAGTCCGTAGGATGTTTTTGAGTTTATATGTATGCTCGGTTTGGAGCCCCGAGGGCTCGGGTGAGTTTTGAGTAGGTCCCGGGAGGTCTTAGGCTAGAAACATCAGATGGTTGCAGGTCCAGGTGTTGCAGGCCCCCAGCGCGGCCGCGGTCATTTCCCCGCGGTCCGCGCTGGAAGCCGCGCGGCCGCAGTGCATTTCTGCGCAGTCCGCATGGCTAGGTTCAGAGGGCCAGTGAATTCTAGGTCAACCAGCGCGGCCGCGCACCAAATCAGTGCGGTCCGCGCTGGGAGATTCAGAGAGTGGGTCTTGGGTCCGTCCAACCAGCGCGGCCGCGCACCAAATCAGTGCGGTCCGCGCTGGGTAGGTTCAGAGAGTCATTTTTCTTCCCTTCCTCGGCGCGGCCGCGGTGCATTTTTGTGCGGTCCGCGCCAGTCTTCAGCACAGTATATAAAGTCGGGATTTTCAGTCATTTTTCACTTTTTCAAAACCCAAAACATAAGAGGCGATTTTTCCAAACGATTCCACTTCTTCAAAACGATTGGTAAGTGATTTCTAACTCATTTTCTTTACTCCTTAACATCTTTAAACATAATTTCAACTTCAAAACAAGTTTTTAATGGGGAAATTTGGGAATTTAGGGTAGCACCTAGGTTTTCTAAAATTGGGGGTTTTGGACCTCAATTCGAGGTCCGATTCCAAAATAACTTACATATTTGAGTTCATGGGGGAATGGGTAAACGGGTTTTGGTTCGAACCTCGGGTTTTGACCATGTGGGTCTGGGGGCATTTTTGACCTTTTGGGGTAAATTGATGAAAAAGCTATAAGTAGTCATTGGGTTTGATTTGTTTAGCACATATTGATATCATGAAGTCCTTATTGCGTAGATTTGGTTATGTTGGAGCCGAATTCGAGGGGGAAAGCGGTTGTGGAGGACTGTATTGGCCATGGAAGTTGAGGTAAGTGTTTGGTTTAACCCTAGCTTGAGGGAATAGGAGTCGAGTCTTGTTTGCTAATTGTTAAATGATCGAGTGCGATGTATAGGCATGGTGACGAGTTCCTATACATTGGGGTCTAGCCTGACCGTGAGTCCTTATATGTGGATTGTTTGGATATTGTTATGCCTTTCCATGCTTTATTGATGGCTTCTATGCGTTGTAAACACCTTGTGAAAGATATTGTGATTGTGGAACTTCGTGGAGCATTGGCTCGGTCTGAAATACAAAGGGTGTGAGCATATGAAATGAGAAATGCCTTAGAGCTTGACACGAGTGCTAATGAGAACTAGGATATGAAAATGAAAGAAAAAGAGAGATAACGATTCACTCTTGCATGGTTGTTATTGGTTGTTTGTGTACCCTTGTTGGATTTCCTTCCAAATACTTGTTCTCTCCCTGCCTTTTATTTGTGACTGTTGCTTGGGCAAGGTTGAGAGGTAGACATTGTGGATCGGGTTGCACGCTGCAACAGTGATAATTGTGGATCGGGTTGCACGCCGCAACAGTGATAATTGTGGATCGGGTTGCACGCCGCAACAGTGATAAATGTGGATCGGGTTGCACGCCGCAACAGTGATAATTGTGGATCGGATTGCACGTCGCAATAGTGTAATTGTGGGTCGGGTTGCGCGCCGCAACAGTTATTGATGCAAATGAGTTTAGCGTTGGTATTAGTTACTTGTTCGCCTTAAATTTTAAATTGTACCTAGATTGATTACTTGAATTTACTGTTAATATTGTTATCTCCCGCCAGCATGTTTCCCCTCCCATACTGTTAGTTGCCTTGTACTTCGATTTCTGCTGTATATTTATAATTGCACAGGTTTATGTGAGGTCCAGTCTAGCCTCGTCACTACTTCGCCGGGGTTAGGCTAGGCACTTACCAGCACATGGGGTCGGTTGTGCTGATGCTACACTCTGTGCATTTTTGCACAGGTCCAGGTATTGAGCAGCAGCAGCAGCATTAGCACGGGGGCGATCCTTCAGTCCAGAGAGACCCGAGGTAGCTTGCAGGCGTCCGCAGGCCCGGCGTCTCCCTTCTATCTTTACATTTGGATGTCATCTCATTGTACTCGAGATAAACAGATTATGTCTCTTTCAGACTTTGTATGTAGTACTCCTTAGATGTTCGTGAGTATGTGACTCCAGTCCCGGGGTAGAGACGTATGTTGGAATTTCTGTATTTTATTCAGTTATATAAATTTAAGACTTCCGCTAATGATTTTAATTCCGTCGCCTTTATTTAATGCCGTTAATTGTTAAAAAGGAACATGTGTTTAATGAATTTGTTAATTAAGTTGGCTTGCCTAGCTCCTATTAGTAGGCGCCATCACGACCCTCGAGGGTGGGAAATCCGGGTCGTGACAAGTTGGTATCAGAGCTCTAGGTTACATAGGTCTCACAACTCACGGACAAGCTTAGTAGAGTCTGAGGGATCGGTACGGAGACGTCTGTACTTATCCCCCAGAGGCTGCCAAGTTAGGAAAAATCTCTCCTTTGTTCTTTCTTGTCGTGCGGTTTGGTTTCTCAATGCTAATTGAACTTCTACT